GTATAAGTTATAGCTAATTAATTATTCTTTTAATTCTTATGTACCTACAGAAATTCTCAAAGAAATATTTTGCAGTATAGCACTAAATTCAAAATGTATGATTATATCATAATTTAAAAAGTCAACATAACGATAATAGTGAAAAACATTTTTTTTTTCAAATAAACTGCAAAAAATGATATGGACGACAACGATCGTTTATTATTATTATTATTAATTATGTTTTGTTTACAACAACATTGATTATGTTTCCAGGAATGATGGAAAGTCTTAGAGAGGAACTCCGAGAACATTCGCACAACAAAATCCAYACCACTGTTGTGATACCACGACTAATTAACACGAGTGCTGACTACATGAAATCCATCAACAGCAGGTATTATCGATTCTATTAACTATAAATTTGACGATGCTACGGGATTACGGGAATAAGACATTTTCGTTTATTTGTTTTTTTTTTTTTAGTTTTTATCACACACTTTATAATAGGACAATCTGAGTGATTTTTTATTGCGGAAATACGAACAGATGATGCATTATTATTTCTATATTTATAATCTCGAATTAGCTGCAAAGAATCACAACCCACGACTACAAATTAAGTTTTTACGTTTCCTGGACAGTAGTGATCTTGACATTTAACCCACACACACCATCCAATTAATACCTTCGATATTTTTAAGTCGGTCGTCTTATTCTATAAATACAATGTAACTATTAAAACTTAGACACGTTTACATTTTGATTCCCCTCATAAATATTGAGCGTCCTCCATAGACAATAAGTACCAATAAAAATAATAATAATGATAATAATAATTAGCGCAAATAATAATAATGGTCCAATATATTATTGGATAATATTACATTGCTGTCTTATAAGATTATTTAGGTACAGCTAGTTATTAAAACAAATCGAATCCGTTTATTAAATAATATTATATTTTACGATTATTGCAATGTTAATTTTTGAGAGGTTTTTGTAATGATTAATGTCTTATGAGTTTCGAATCATAAACATTAATTGGACACCTACTTACGATAATCGGTTTTCAGGTTGCCGGTGTTAAGTGTGGAATGTGCAGCTAAAGCTACAGTTGACGGGATATTGACGAACGAAGTTGAATTCACTATTCCTCATATAACATATTTTACAAATATTCTACGGAAGTAAGCGGCTTAACGAATTAATTGAGTTCGTGTGAAATTTATTTGTTTTCATTTTCTATGCAGACTTTTCCCCGTCAATATTTCGGATTCGATAAAAAATGTTTTCTACGTGAAAATCTTGTTGCCACCACAAGAAGACCAGGACAATCTGCCCAATATGTCAATCATCAATCGTACTGTAGCTGCTAACTGAAAACAACGTTTGTCAAATGTGATTGYCCTTTAAATCATTTATTTGAAAATAATATCATATTTTCTATGTAACGGCAATCCGAAAATAAATCTCATCACACTACGGCACCTACCTTGAAGTTCTAGCCGGTACCGTATAATATTTTAAACGTTTTTGTTTTAATAAAATACTGAATTCGGCTGGCGTGTGTACAATTTTATAGTTAAGACTATCATATTATGGGTAAATTATATTATATTATTAATGATATGAATGGGTAATTATAAGTCTTTTAAAAATGTCGAAATTTCTGTAGTTTTTACGTGTTCGTTTGTTGTTAAAGTAAAGCAAAATATATTTGAACCGTTTTTTTTTTATTTGTCTATAAACTGTACGATGTAATTTACGATGTATTTAATTATCTAATGTTTCGGCAAAATCCGTTAGGGATTGTCAATGTAATCAATTAATGGCTTTAATGTGAAAACTCAATTCATTGATTTACGAATTTTCTGATTCATTTGCATGAACGTCGAGAGTGCATTTAACAGGTCGTTATMAATTTAAATCGACGGACATAATAATATAATGTTATTTAATGTCGAGTGATATGCAACTGCATTGGAAATCCGATACTTCGGTGATTCAAATGAAATAATGACGAGTTGAGTCTTAGGGAGAAGTGGAAACAGACATTAGATATTATTCTGAAATACATTTAACCGAGTGATATAACTATTATGTGCTGCCATGCAGTGTGGGTACTTATATTGAGTTATATCTCAAYGTAGTGTGTGTATATCAGTGTAAGAAAGATGGTCATGGTATTAACTCGACTTTTGATTATGATGGCTGAGAGTTCAAAAATGATGACTTGTGTAAAACGACTTATCAAATTTTCTGATTCATCTTTTCGAAACGGTTCCAAAAGACTTTATCGCCGACATTTCGGTAGGTAACCATTTATTTAGCAATAACTCTGACTTAAAAGTTCAGCTTTTAATATTATTTTAATAGCAATTGATCACCGGATAATAAACTCCGTAAAGCATTATGTTTTGGACGTCACCTTTCAACTRACAATATTTTTAATAAATGTCCTTTTCAAGAGCTCACTTCACCTGAACCCAATGAATAACTCTTGAACTTCTCGTAGAATATTTGTTATTTTACATTTTTTTAGAAAACGTAGAACTTAATATTTTCTACATTTTTGTATTAAATGTATTTGCAACTAAAACACATTGTACTAATTACGATAAACACGAACGAAAAAATCACTTATAAACACCGATTTAAGATTTCTCCACACAAATTAATTTCTTTTTTGATCTATAAACGACTAAATTTTAATTAAAATAAAATGTACAATACATCTTAAAAAATAAAAACATAACGGTTGCACCATATTTTAGATATCACAAACTTTCGCAAATTAATGATTGAATTATAATAATTAATAAAGCCGCAAAGATCCTATCCACCGCATGCTCCGGTCATTCCGATAGCATTAACTCTTTTTATAATTAATTGTATTTTTTTCATATTTAGATTAAAAATTCGACTCCTATTTATTGTTATGTAATATTGCAATACTTTACAACGTTAATTTTGCAAATAAAAAATAATTATTTTTTGTTTATAAAATTTGTAATTTTCGTTCATAATTTCATAGGTATATAATTTTCATAGAGAATATACTTTTGCTTCATTAATATATATATATATATAACCGCAATCATACTACATGAAATATATCTAACAAATAATAAGTTGGTGTATTTAATTCTTAAAAATATATTTTCTCTAAGATAAGAGTAGTCTACAACGCAAAAAATAAAACTCGTAACTAGGCTATATGATTCATTATGGTCCAATTACACGTAATTGAAAAAAGCCTATAATCWYCAGAAAATATATGGTTAATAAATGATTATAGTTTCTTAGGGAATTCATTGGTAATCCTTGTAAGAAACTTGATATCTGCGTCACCACAGTACTAAGTTGAAAAAAGAAGTTTCCCCTCAATTCATCTGGGAATTTAACTTCGCTCTTAATTTATTAAGCATTTCTACTATCCGTATCACTACCATGAATATTCTCTTAAAAGTGTAATCAAAGTTTTCAGCCTACAGCCACATTTTTATTTTATTTGAATACGTTTTTTCATTGCAGATTACAATGAATAATAACATGTATGAATGTATAAATATGTATAAAAATGATATATTTTTAAATTAAAAAAACTGAAAATAAATTTATACGTTATTTTAAATCTTACAAAAAATTCACAATTTCCACATAAGATAGTATCATTTTAATTAGATTGTTTTTTTAAATGAATACTGTTTTTATTTTGGCACGAATGGATAATAAAACGGATTTAAAACTAATTCAAAATAATTGCATGCACTATAGATTACATAGTATGTCATTATAATTATGGTAGGTAGCCTTCATGAACAATGACTATAATTYCGACTGGTTAAACATATATTATTTTATACACATCTAAATTAAAAACTAAYTTTTGTTATTAGTGCTAGAAAAGAATTTCTACTTTCTGCAAGGTTTAAAAATCATGGAAAATGTTATAATATTAATATTTACATAAACTATAACAAGTTAAAGGATATAAATACATTGTGATCATCTACCATCATATTATTAATTAATTATTCTGTATTCAATATATATTATGCTGTAAAATTAAACTACTAATCCACAATAAAATAAATACATTTTTT